CGTCAATTATAGAAATGTCGATAATTTGGAAGAGCGCATCCAGTTCATTTTCAATACCGCGTGCTCGATGAGTCAGACCAATGGGTACCGTGACTACGTTTACACCCTTAGTTTTCTCAGAAACACGGTATGTTGTCTTACGCCATTTCGTTGATTTATTTTTTCCAATGAAAAATTCTTCCATGGTTTCTTCATGGTCCTCTTCTTCAGATTCGTCTGAAGTGTTTTCTTGTTCGGTAGTACTCTGTTCAGTTTGTTGCTCGATTTCTTCTTCCGAAAACTCGCTGTCACTCGAGGGAAAGTAAGTCTCATTATCTTGTTCTGGCTCATCGAATAAATCATGAGCGATTTTTTCTCGCTCATTTTGTGTACGCGGCCTACAAGCCATAATGGGGTACGTCTGAAATGAAAAAATACCTTTAGCTATAAAAGAAACGATATAAATGAGGAAGAAATCAGAAAAAAAGTAGTTTATATAATATACTTACACTTGAAGGCGCGTGTCATAACGTTCAACGAAAATTTCTCGGATAGCAACCACTTCTTGCAATCACTTCAACACTGCGCGCACGCGATACGTCTGTAATCTTTGAGATACTGTGTTTCGGCCACGAACAAATATTCCATACTAACTATTGATGATGTTAGTTGTCGAAATTAATCTGCTCCTCCGTCCTGAATTTTCCCATAGGGAAACCTCGGTTTCCCCTGCCAAGGCGACAACGACGTACATTGCCTACCGGAGGGAGGATTGGTCAAGCCAATCTTCATTCCTCGCGCGGTCGCACGCGACGATGTATCGTCACCGCGTCGACCGTCGTACGGGGGTGGGGGCGGTCCCGGGTGTGCAGGAACCTGCCTGGGGCGAGTTGAAGCGCCAGGCCCGGCAGTTCGTGGTGCACGCGTGGCAAGAGCGGTTGGCTCTGCCTACCGCGGGGCACCGGACAGTCGGGGCTGTTCGGCCACTCCTATGTGAGTGGCTGGACAGAGGCCATGGAAGCCTCACTTACAGGATGGCACAGGTGTTCTCGGGGCATGGCAGCTTCGGGAGATACCTGTGCCGGATAGGGAAGGAGCCGACGGCGCGTTGCTGCCATTGTGACGCTGAGCAGGACACGGCGGAACATGCCCTCGAGGTATGCACTGCGTGGGAGGGGGAGCGCCGTGTCCTGGTCGGCGTCATCGGGCGGGATGTCTCGCTGCCGAGCATGGTGCGCGCCATGCTCGGCAGCGAGGAGAAGTGGAGGGCCGTGGCCTCCTTCTGCGAAATCGTAATGTTGCAGAAGGAGACCGCGGGAAGGGAGCGCGAGCGTCAGCGGCGTGCTGAGGCTCGCGCTCGTTTGGTGGCGAGAGAGCGTCGCCTGGGCGTCAGGCGACGCGGGCGGCCCCCTCGGCGTGGCGCATGACCCAGGCTGGGAGGGGGGTCCTGATAGGAGCCCCCTCACGCCAGGCGGCGTAGGGTCGGACCGGACGGGGTGGCAGTGCCTCTTTACATTTAAGTTTTATGTTCTCATTTCAAAGTCCGGTTAGACTTTGACTATAATCAGTCCATGGATAATAATGATTATACCTCTTGTTTCATAGTTGTTCTGATATATAGACATAATGTATAAAAAATCTTTTAAATGTTTCATATAAATCTTAGGACGAATTAAATTATATATAAAAGAAATTATATAAACTTTTTCTCTATCTTCTCTAGAAAAGAAAAAATTAAATGAAATCTTATACATTACATGCTTACTTAAATCGCATTGAAAACGAATACTACAAATGTGCAAAATGTGATTGCGATTTTCGCTAAGACAAATTGAAAACTCGTTTCTACCAAGGAAAAGTTGGAATGGTACCAGGTTTTGGGTTAGGTTTTACTTTGAGATATTATTAAAGTTTTTACAGGTACTTATTTTTAGAAATAGAACTATGTTCACCACTAATCAGCGTGGCGTGAGTGATGAGGTCTTTGCCTGCAAGTTCCGAACTTCTTCTGCTCTGCTGGTTCGAACCCTGCTTGAACTTTTTTTTTTTATTTTTTCAATCATACTTTAATCGTACACTAAATATGACATTATATTTTTGTCTGACCTTCGCATATTTTTTTTTAAAGTTAAATTTAACCGATTACATTTAACATATGTTATTTTCAATGTACGAAGTACATGAATCTGGATGGTACTTTTCACAAAAACAGTCAAAACATAAAAATTTCAAGCACCACGTACATTTACTGAAAGTTTTGTTTTCACAGAAATTACAAAATTTTGTATTTAACTCTGATGGAAAGGCCGCTTCATTTACATTGATAAAATGTGAACGATTTTCGGATAGTCGTACCTTGTTGCTCGTACTTTTTACCTTATACTTCAGGTACTTTCAGGTTACTGTTCTAAAATGAAACGCTATGTTTTGTACCTTTAAAAATATTCGACAATGTCCTTTTAAAATTTAAAATCCAACCCATACTTTGTATTAAACGGGCAAACGGGATCACGTTTCGTTTGTTTTTAAACGGTTTGATGGTGGGGATCTCGTGACTCCTGGCAGAAGAGTTCAGTTGTAGATTGCCAGCAGGCAAATAAAGTAATTCCGTTAATAAATCTGAGTTTATCGTGATTGTGCAAAGTGGCAGTATTTCGTGCCGTTGGGTAAGTTTTTAATAGTTCTTTTTTAATTAGTGTAATTAAATTGTATAGAAAAAATGGCAGCATTTGAGGAAATCAACACAAAGTTTAAATATAGATTTCAATCTATTTGGATGAATGATCCAAATTTAAAATCATGGTTACGCGAAGTTCCAGGGGACAATATCGTTTTTTATTGTTCCATTTGTAGAAGAACTTTTAAGTGTCGATCCTCAAATGTTAAGAGGCATTTAGAATCTGCGAGACATAAATTTTTATTAACTAATTTAAATTTTGATACAACGGAACGTTCGACGGAGACTGTTACGTCTCCATGTTTTAACATTGAAAAATTTAAACCATGGTTGCGTAAAGTCGACGGCGTTCCGTCTTCTTGTTATTGCTCAATTTGTCAGATAAAATTAAAGCCGCGTTTATATATTTTAAATCGCCATGCAGATTCTAAATACCATCTTAAGAACTGCGCAAAAGATGGAATAGACGCGACTAGATCGAATGATTTCAATACGCAATCCGAAGGATCGGCTCACAAGGAACCATCGCGAACGGTCCGGCTTCGATTTTGATGAAACTTTGTACACCTATAAAGCAGCCAAAAATAATCGACACGTATTTTTTTTTAGCTACGGTAACTCGAGTTTAAGGGGTGAAACCACCCCTTGAAGTTTTGGCTCGAAACGGCTATCTCGAAAACGGAAAGACATACAAAAAAATTGTTAATGGGCGAGGTTGATGGTTTCTTATGTACAATAACATGGTGTTAAAAAATGTAAAAAAATACAATTTGTTTATAGCAAAAAAAAAATTTATTAACTTAATTTCTCATTTTATTGAAATTTTCATAATGACAAAAAATGACGAGCATTTTATTCCAAATTCACTGGTATGCGATTTTTTAAAATTGCCTCCTACAGTTTTGCAGATTTTGATGATTTACATCTTGCGCGCACATCCATTATGGTAGTAGCCGTTCTAACTTTGATTTTAATGAAGCACTGTAGGCTTGCACTAAATCAAAGTTAGAACGGCTACTACCATAATGGATGTGCGCGCAAGATGTAAATCATCAAAATCTGCAAAACTGTAAGAGGCAATTTTAAAATATTACATACCAATGGATTTGGAAAAGTTCGGCTACCCTTGGGAAAAATTTTAATGGGAGATTCTAGAGGCCAAAATAAGACGAAAATCAAGAATATCAATTTGTTGATTGAGCCTTCGTTAAAAAGTTATTAAAAAATTAAATCAAAAAATTTCAAATCCTCCAGGAAAAAATTATTTTCGGTTGCGGGGGCCAATTACAATCATTTTTGGTCAATACATATACCCACGAAATCCTACGCACTTTCGAGAAAAAAATTCCTAATCGAAAATGTAATTTATGGCCAGAAATGTTGTCCGAAAATTTCATGCGGATCTTTAAAATGTCATAACTTCTGAATGGATTGAAGGATTTTAATTTTCAAAAATGCAAACGACGCGTATTTTAATCAAGAATACGTAGAAATCGCAAAAATATGCAAAAAGTTGATCCTTGACCCCGCAAAATGAGAAAAACCCCATAAAAATGGTCCAATCTTCAAACAGCCATAATTCCTACAATAGTGAATATATTTCAATGAAACTTTTTTCTGAAGTAGAGCTCATAGGTACCTACAAAAAAGTATTGGCCAACTTTTTTGTACGGCATCAAACAAAATTATTAAAAATGAAAAACGAATTTTTAAGAAAAATCGACAGGTGCCTAATAAATTTTACAGCGTAAAAAAAAAATTTCAAATCGTTCTAAAAAAATTATTTTCAGTTGCAGGAGTCAATTTCAATCTGTTTAAGATTGAAGTGAACTGTAGAGATTTTCATTGAGATGCCGGTTATGAGAGGGTTCGCGAAAAATGACTATGGTGCAAAGTTAATTAAACAAGGTCCTTATTAACAACATTGTCCCGTTTGTGAAATACATAATTAATGAGCGGTACGTTTAAGTAAGAGTTTTACACGAGCGGTTATGAGAAATGGCGATATTATTGATCGCCATTTATTGAACACAGTAGATTATATGCGGCACAAAAGAACAAAGGAAACTAAGACTGAAAAACAGAGCACACTTGTCGCGTTTTAGATTACGAACAAGACAGCCTTAATGGCCGCGCTCGTGGCCACCACGAGGTTTCGACCCGCCGGTAGAGAGATCGTTGCGCGCGCAGGTGGGCCAGCTATCCTGCTCGCGCACAAAGTGTGCCCGAGAGGTGCTGCCAATGAGCGTCGTGGTGGCCACGGCATGAGCGAAACATTGAAAGGAAACAAGGCACGTGCGTGTTGCTAAAAATGAGAGTTAATTCTCGAACATTCCGCCCGCCATCAGCCACTTGTGGCTGATGATTCCTCTGTTGGTAGGATGGCCAGCTTCGCAATCGGTCTGGTGAGTGTGGTGGTCGCGGTCTTCAGGGTGACCACCCTGGTGAGTCCGTCCTTCCCTGGATGTAGTTCCAGAACTCGTGCAAGAGGCCACTTGCAAGGTGGAAACCTCTCGTCGGTGATGAGAACCAGTGATCCAACCTTGATGGCATTGGATGGGTGATGCCATTTTGAGATGGCTTGTTGCCGCTGCAAGTAATGAGATGACCATTGAGCCCAGAACCGTTGAACCCGTTGTTGAATGAGCTGCCACATTGCCCTTGGTGGAAGTGAGACGTCCTTCAACGAAGGTTCAGGCAATGTTGAGAGAGCAGTGCCGATGAGAAAATGAGCAGGCGTGAGCGGTGAGAGATCTTCAGGATCATCGCTGAGTGGTTCGAGGGGTCGTGAGTTGAGAATTGCTTCTACCTGGGTCAGAAGCGTGCTGTACTCTTCGAAGGTGAGGAGGGTATCACTCACGGTACGCCTGAGATGGAACTTGAGAGACTTCACGACAGCTTCCCATTTTCCACCCATGTGCGGTGCTGCAGGTGGATTGAAGCACCATTCTGTCCTGTCGTTAACAAATAAATGAGTGAGGTGAGAATGTGATTTTGATCCCTGAGTGAACATTGCCTTGAGACATGAGTCTGCTCCGGTGAAATTGGTGCCACAGTCAGTGTAAACCTTCTGTGGGATTCCTCGCCTAGATGAGAATCGCCTGTACGTTGCTATGAAGCCTTCGGTTGAGTAGTCTGACACCAGCTCCAGATGAACAGCTGATGTGGTGAGACAAACGAAGACGCAGATCCATCCCTTCGATGTTTTGGCGCCTCGTCCTTTCCAAGTTTTGAGAGTGAGTGGACCGGCATAGTCCATGCCGGTATGAGTGAATGGCGATGACGGTGTGACTCGAGAAAGAGGTAGTTGGCCCATCAGTTGATGGGCACGGATTCCCCTTTGGCGAGCACACGTCAAACACCGCAGAATATGAGCCTTGACTGGAGCTCTTCCTCCGATGATCCAGTAGGTTTGTCGAATGTAGGCGAGTGTGAGTTGAGTTCCACCATGAAGAGTTTGTTTGTGAGCGTGATCTATAATCAATTCAGACAAACGTGAGTGGCGAGGCAAAATAGCGGGATGTTTACCCTCGTAGCGGAGCTGAGAGTTTTCCAATCGTCCGCCGACTCTGATGATTCCCTTATCATCAATGAAGGCAGTCAGGTGACTGAAGGCATGAGATGAAGGCAGCGATGAGTGTGAGGTGAGCATCTTCATTTCATGAGCGAAGTAGATGGTCTGAGTTGCCCTGATCCAGAATTTCTGAGCATCTTCCAGATCACTCGGCGAGTGTGAGGTATAGGCTGGTGAGCAGTGGACCCCTTTTAATTTTGCTATAAATCTGAAACAAATAGCAGTGATGGTGAGAAGTTTCTTGAGCGTTGAGTATTTGTGAATGAGATCCCACTGATACTCGATCTTTTGGGAGATGAGAGCAGTAGGGATACTTGGACGCGCTTCTAGTGCACATGAGGCGTTCTTGAGCTTCGGTTGTGATGGCCATGAGTCCTGGGGTTGAGTAAGCCATGGTGGTCCCGTCCACCATAGCTGATGATGATCAAGCTGAGCAGTTGAAAGGCCTCGTGATGCGCAGTCAGCTGGATTCGATGTTCCAGACACATACCCCCAATGTGCCTCAGGTGTGAGTCCTTGTATCGCCGATACTCTGTTTCTCACATAATCCTTCCAGCGTGATGCGTGAGATTTGATCCATATGAGTGTGACTTGAGAATCCGTCCACAAGTGAGTTGTAGCAATGTTAAGATTGAGCTTCGCTTGAACATAGCTTGCCAGCCTTGCAAGCATAAGAGCTGCTGTGAGCTCCAGTCTCGGGATAGTGAGTTTCTTGAGAGGTGCGACCTTCGTCTTGGCGCACACCTGTGACGTCACCTTGAGATTTGTGGACGGTTGAGAAAACCGTGATGTAGATCACGGCTGCCATGGCGAGCTGAGATGCATCAGAGAAACCGTGTATTTCCACCACTGAGTCTTGACAGGTGTTGAACCAGCGTGGAATTGAGAGTCTGGCCAGATTGTGAGATCTTCTCTGAGGATGAGCCATCGTTCTGTGATGTGGGATGGTAGTGATTCATCCCAGTGAGTTTGTGCAGCCATAATTCTTGCAATAAAATCTTACAGCGAATTATGACCGGTGAGAGGAAAACCAAGTGGATCAAATATCTGTGCTACTTGAGATAGTATGAGGCGTTTACTTATCTTGGTTGGGGGGTGAGAATGAGTCCTCCTTCGATGAGAATGTAAATGTATCCTTGAGAAAATTCCATGCATTCCGAGTATTTTGGTTTTGCAGTCGTCCAATGAGAGTGATGAGCCTTGAGCATGAGCTTCAGGTGAGATGGCTTCGAGTAGCGCGGGGCAGTTTGAATGCCACTAGCAAGTGGGAAACCGCCCGCGTTGCACAGACCTTGAAGCTGATGAGCGAGTTTCTTGAGATCTTCTGGTGAATCTGCTCCTCCAAAGATGTCGTCGACATATCTGGCATGAGTGATCGATGGTACGGCCAGAGGATAATGATGACCTTCATCCTCAGCTAATTGCAGCAATGTTCTGACCGCAAGATACGGTGCTGCCTTGGTACCGTAGGTGACCGTAGTGAGCTGAAATTGAGTCTCTTGCAGGTCCTTATCCACCCACAATATTCTTTGCAGATCCCAGTCGTCTTCATGCACTCTGATTGCCGATACATTTTGGGTAATATCGGTTGAGAATGTGTATCTGTGCTGACGAATCCATAGGAGCACGTCAGCGATGTTGAGCAGTAGGTTTCACCAGTGTGCATGATGTCGTTGAGAGAATATCCAGAAGATGTTGAGCTTGAGCCATTGAAGACAACTCTCAGCTTCGTAGTCGGGCTGTCTGGTTTCAAAACACCATGATGAGGCAGATAGAAAGTTGTTGAGTGTTGAGATGAGCGCGATGATGCTCTCTTCATGTGCTGCAGATTCTCGTATTCCTCCATAAACTCTTGATAGAGGTGAAGATCTTCTTCATTCCTCTTGAGCTTGCGTAGAGTACGATTCAAACAAGCATGAGCGAGTGTTGTACGAGTTCCCAACATGGTTGAAGGCAGTTTGAGAGGGATGCGCACGATGTATCGCCCATCCGGATCCCGCAAATGAGTTGTTCTGAAGTGATCCTCACACTCTTGCTCTTTAGGGGTGCGTTGAGATTGGTTGGCGATTGGAACCTCTTCCTGTGTCCAGAATTTCGTCAAGAGATGTTGGAGAGGACGATTCTTCTTCTTCTTGAGTTGAAACCTGGTGAGATGTGAGCGCTCGAGTTGATGCTGAGCCCACTGGTCCAATAACCAACCAACCAAAGATTGAGAGTTGAGCGATAGGCGTTGATGGTAAACCCTTGATGAGATTGGGCTTGATGACATGCCCGTAGGAATCTGCACCGATGATCACGTCGATTGAGCGAGGCGGCACCATGAAGTCTGGGTCAGCGAGCTTGAGATTTTTGAGATGAGGCCATTCTTGATGATCCATGTTGGTTGATGGCAAGATGGTCGTCAATGTTGGAAGAACGTGAGCTCTGAGTCTCACTGATGCGTTGCTGTAGTTGGAATGCAACGTCAATGACACAATGCCTCGAGTAGTTGTTGATTTTCTGCCACCAATGCCAATGATTGACATTGACGAGTGTGAGCGTAGAAGATTGAGCTGCTTGATGAGATCTTCCCTAACAAAGGAGACCTCTGACCCAGAATCAATTAAAATTCTTACTTGATGTTTTGCCACCGTTGAGATGACGTGAGCGGCTGCCGTTGCCAGCAGCGTGAGCGATGGATGAGCCTGGATTGAGCGTGAGTGTGTTGTTGAGTGGACGACTGCACCTAGTTCTCAATTGCTGCGAGCGGAGGGTTGAGCGGTGGTTGTCCGGTGGAGCATCGTGTGATGATGCCCCTTGCACTGCTTGCAGCGTTGGGCTGAGCGGCAATTTCTTGTGGAATGACGCCCGCAGCAATTTGAGCAGAGCACCAGATGCTCCACTGCCTTCCATCGGTCGTTAATGCTCATTCCCGGAACCTTGAGCACATGACGATGAAGTGGTCGCCGTGGCATATGTCACACGGATACCTCCCGGGATCTTGAGCGGTGTAGGCGTTGTCGACATTGGTGGAGCGATGAGCAGGAGCGGTTGAGGCATGGGCGTTGGCAGCATGAGCGGGTGTTTTTGAGAGGTGGCTTCGTTGCCACGGGCTGAGCCTTTGCTGCCGCGGCTTGGCCCAAGCCTTCGAGCGCTGTTACCCGCGCCCGCCACGAAATCTCGTACTCTTGTGAGCG